AATAATTCACAGAAACTTGAAAAAAAAAAAGGCCCTTAACAAGCAAGATATATTTCAAAGACAAAACTGAGAAAGTTAAAATCTAGAATCATATTCAAGTTAGAGCACTACAATGATACATAAACACTCCAAACTATAAAACTTACGAGGGAAAAACAGTTTAAATGAACGACATCTGTTCACATTCCAAACAGCATTTTTAAAAAATTACTAAACTTAATTTTTAGAAATAAAATTCAGATCCCAAACAATTAGGAATCAGAAAATGGGTTTCTTACCTTTTGTTTCCAGGATGTAGGCTGAACAGCAAGGTGGGTTACTCAATCTGATGTTATGAGAAATAATTGCTTCTTAAAGAGACTTAAAACTTCCTTGATTAGAATAAATTATAAGCTCCCTACAACATCTAAGGGGACATAAATAGGGAGAAAAGCAGAAAATCCAAGACTGCTTTCTAAGAGTTACTAATATAGGTAGAGATTTAAGGTCCATTTCCTAAGACTGACATAGTCTGCATCTCCTCTTAAGATTAGTTGTCTAGTCTCCTCTTACTGAACTGGAAAACCTGGCACCTCTATCTTTCATACACAGGTTAAATCCTCTCTAATCTTAAACAGCCTATATATCAGGCACGTAGTATTTCCATCTCACTTCAATCTAGTTGGGACTCCAGAACTCATCTTTCAACTTAGCTTAAATGCACTCAACTTTTGAGGGCACTTCATCTTGGTCCTGTTTCCAAAATAATGAATACAAATAAACTCAGGGCCCGCTAAAGTCTAGCTCTTTACAAAATCATTTCCACTTTTAACATCTTACAAAAAAACTTGAATAAACTTTTTGGCCAACTCAGATGAAACAGCCTAGTTTTACGTATTGTCTACTCTTGGAACACTGTATTTTGAATTCCTACATTAAAACTTGTTACTCCCTTAGTGGATCTATACAAAGTACTCTAAAAAAATGGAATCCTAATCTTGACTTGACTATCCCTTCTCTTCCTCCTGACATTCCAGGAGGTTCATTTAATGTACTGGCTGGTGACCTTATGCAAATCTTCAGGCTGTCTCCACTACCAAGATTTCTAGTGTCTCCTAGATTTGAAATCACATCACCTGAATAGCAGTCTTAAATTCTGCTTCCAATTATAATTAACACTCAAGGGAAATCTAATGATTTAGCTATTTTCTAGGTGCACAAAAAGTGGTCTGATGATCGTGACTATCAGGAAATAAGAAAAAAAGATCAGGAATACTAAGTAAACCCCCCTCCTCCTTCCCCCAACTCTTAAGTGAAAATTTAGCACCAAGGGGCTACCAAGTAAAAGATACAAAAACTAGTAGGTGACAAGATGTCATTACTGTTTTGGTATGTTTTGGATAGTAACTATGATTGAGGAGAGTTCCAAGGCAAAATTTTAAAGAATGCCCAGCTTTTATTAGCAATGATTCAAATAAACAGTTAAATCTTCTAGTGTGCTATTCACATTTCAAACAGAAAATGTAATTTAAGAATTCTAATCTGCGCTGAATTTTAATACTTACCAATTTTTGAGATGAATTTATTTTCATTGAGAAACTCAAAGGCTAATAATACCAACATTCACTAGTCATTGCCTGATTTTACACAAAACTCTTATGCTAATTACCAAAATAAGCAGTATCCATAAACTTAAGTCATTTTTAATCAAAGCTTTGCAGCTTATCCTCCAGAAACTAAATCACCCTTCATTTACCACATTACATACACAACTATCTTATTCTCACTTTTTTCAATCTTCCCCTGAAGACTTTTACAATTAACAGTAAGAGATAATATCATCAGCAAATTCCTATCAAGAACCTTTAATTTACTAACACAAACACAAAAATCAGAATCTTATCAATTTTAAGTATTAACTGAGACTAGTCACCCAGTAAAAAAATCTTACAAGAGGAAAAAGGACAACCATGCATAGTTTTTTAAAAAATGTTTATTTTTTTCAAAGAAAAACGGCAACAGCCAATTGGAAACCTACTTATTCTTCAACTCCAATTTTGTTTTCTTTAAATTTAGAAGTGACTTACTGATTTACTATTTTAAACAAACCCCCCCTTTCCCCTTTAAATGTTTACCATCTACTCGTGCTGAATCCTTCCAAGGAGATTGCTCCAGCGTATATCTCCAGGTCCTCGCTTTGCTCCTTTTACCAAAAATGCAAAACACAATTCCATCGTGCATCTTAAGGGCTCCAATCGTCAAAAATAGGAAAAAAAAAAATTCTTTGGAATAGCCAATTAAGTTGAATAAAAAAAAAAAAAAATCCACACGAATGCGGTTTGGTTGGGGCAGGAATCCACTCCTATGTTCCTGGTAATCTGATCCCGCTCCATGAATCCTTGTAATTCATCCTCCCTATCCTATCCACATTATGATTTGAATCCAATGATCCAGCTCCAAGGATTGGGATCCAGTGAGCCCTCTCCAATCCAAACCTTTATAACCAGCAAAACCAAAAAAGAGGAGGCAAAATGTTAGATACTGTAATCAAAAAAGGTTTCTGGGGAATGATGAGTTATGTCTGTCATCAGTTTAACAGATGTACATCAATAACTATCAAATTCCCCAAAACAAGTTTCTGAATGGTGTTCTGATAAATTTTAGAAACTTAATCATCATAGAGACTAATTGGAAGAAGCATTTTATATTTACAGTTCAACTGATAATGCCAACACTTGTTACTGTACAGCGTATTACAGGTTTTGTGGTTGCAAAAAGTTAAGTAGTTGAAAAGTTTACTGGTACTGCTACCCCCCTAAGTCTAAACTAAATCTAACGCTCCCATTTGTAATTTAATTTGTAAATTAAAGTATTTTAAACATGAGTCAATTATGAATACTAGTTTAAAGGGGAAGGTGAGACTTAAAATTATTCCCAACTAGATTATCTACACCAATATGTTGGAATTCTATATTTTGCTTTCATTTTGTCTTTAAAAAATGAAGTAGCAACGCTATATCAGTCACACAGAGGACATGCAGATTTAGCAGTATTGATATTATACTCTATCTGGTTGGAATTAAAGACACCCTGTACCCACATGTACACCAACAGCAGGTCACACATTAACAGTTGTAACTAAGCATTATGACAAATTAGCCAGTTCTTCCCACATTAGTCCCTATTAAAACAAAAAAGGGAAGGGAGCAAAATAGTTACAAAATGGGCAATGTAATTTTGCCACAATTGCCAAGGTTTAAAGAGCAAAGCAATTGTAGCTAAAGGTAACTGCATAAGATGCTTACAAGTATTTTATGGTAGATGTATATATAATCAATTTAAACCCTTGCCTTTTAGTATAAGGTCAATACTGCCAATTTCATCTGTGACAATAGCACTTGGAGTCATACCATTGCCTCCATTATTGATCTGATCCTCCTCAATCCTCCTTTTGACAATCCTAAAATGATTGAAATGTGCTCCACAATCCTTAATCCAAAGCATTCTTAATCCATCTCTTCAGATATGTCTACAGAAAGACACATGAAAAGCAAGATAAACATAAGAACTTCCCCAGGTAAGATAACCACAAACACCCCCAACATCCCAGTTCACACAAACCAGAGCAGAATAGACATTTACACAATATCACAGTCTGAAGAGCATGGAGAGTTAACTAAATTTAAACAATCCTGGCTATGACATCACTTAAAATACAATTTATCGACATGAGGGGAATGTAGATGTTAGGAGCAAGGGGTATTACACAAGAATGCAATTCAACACTTTAGCCCATTCTGAACAAAACAGCTTGAATTAAAAAATGAAAAGATTGTACTGAATAAAGGAAAACTGTATACAACATGGGTTCTACAAAAAAGTGTCACCAATCATCTTATGTACGAGAGCGAGATCTGCTATGACGGGGAGAATAGCGTGGTGATCCTCTGCTTCTCCTTGGGGAATAACTTCGACTCCTGCTGTTGCTTCTGCTACGGCTTCTGCTACGACTACGGCTTCGAGATCGAGATCTTCCATAACTTGGACTTCTGGGCCCATCAACTTTAACCCGGATGTAGGCAGTTTCTCCCTATTGAATAGACAGAACTTTCGATTGAAAGATCTAAGCTTTCACCTGTCTTCAGGCATGCTGAATGAATACAACGTAATTTAAACCAGAGGCACTTTACTGGGTTTACTTGGACACCCTTGCCTGAATCTTACCTTCAAATTCCATAGTTAAGACCACTGTATCCAATTCTGGCCAATAAAAAGAATAAGTGTATAACCTACCTCATGAGATCTAAACTTAGTGTTATCCAGTTTTCGAACTGCATAGGTCATATCTTCTTTCCGTACAAACTCCACGACACCAGTGCCATCTCGGTAAACATCAGCATAACATACATCACCTGCTTCACGCATGTGATCCTTTAAATCCTGCCAGCTTCCACTTGGAGGCAGTCCTGAAAAAGATTTTTTTCAACAATTATCCTAATATTTTCCATTAAAGTTAAAATTTACATCAAAACCAAGACTACTTTAAAATTAATTAGTTTTAACATCTTAGGGTAAAGATTCAAAATTCTAGAATTAAAAACCCCAAATTATTCTAGGCATTGCAATCTAATTCGCTAAATCTCGAATACAGTAATTCCGGGTTACTAAATTCATCCATACGACTAAAATAATTGAAGATCTGGCATGAAAGCTAACATTCGTCAAACTGGTCATGCAAGGAAAACTTTAAAGTGTGGTATCTGACCAAAAGTGACATCAACCCGCATGGAACGGTAAACTCACCAGAGACAACCACTCTGTTTTCAGAACGCCTGGAAGGGGGGCCATAGCGGCCCCGGGGAGCCCCGCCACCTCCACCCCCGCCGCCGCCTCGGCCTGTACCACGGCCGCTTCGAGGAAACTCCACCCGCAGACGATATCCATCGTAATCATAGCCGTCGCGACCATACACCGCGTCTTCCGCATCCCTGCGTGATTACAGAAAGCCGAAGGGTAAGAAAATGGACCGGGAGGGGTGGCCAACTCCGTCGGGGAGCTAGCAGCGCCCCGCACATGCGCACCCGGGGTGGAAGAGCCCACATGCGCTGCATAATAGGAACGGCCCCTCCCCCACCCAGAAGCACGCCAGGCTCCCGACCACTACAGCAGCCCTCAGCGCCTCAGTTTCCCGCTCCGAGCCCGCAAGCCGGCTCTGGAGACGCCCGGGGGACCCAGTCACCAGAGAAGCCTCACCGACTCGGCTCCTCACTTCACTCGTGCACGGGCGATTCGTCTTGCTCCCAACCTCAGAGCCCACGTCCCCATTCTAAGGCCTTGGAGCATTCCCCAACTACTCCAACCTATATCCTCAAGGCCGCAAGTCCCTGGCCGCCTCACCGTGGGTCCTCGAACTCAACGAAGGCGAAGGGCGGTCCTCCGCGGCGATTCTTCAGGTCGATGTCGCGGATAGCACCGTATTTGTAGAACACGTCCTCAATGTCCTTGGTTCGGATGTCTGGAGGTAAGTTCCCTACGTAGATGCGGCAGTCGTTGTTCCCTGCCGGGCCACGAATCACACCACCTCCCGACATGGCGGCGACGAAAAGCGCGGACTCGAGAACAGGCCTTCCCACCAAGCCTAGCGAACGGCAGAGCGAGCCCGCCGCGACACCACGTCTCTCGCGGCCCCTCCAAAATGGCGCCTTTATCAGCTCGGCGCACGGATATGGGGGGGAGGGAGGAAGAGAAGCGGGAGGAAGCAGCTATTCGATTTCACTGCGCACGCGCAAGAGCGTAACGGATGCTGCGAAAGGGACGCTGGCGCACGCGCGACGTCACCCTCCGCGCGAAGGGGAAAAAAGTTCCCGCGTTCCCGTTGTGCCGAGAGCTTTGCAAAGGGAGTGACCGGCCGTGTGGTAAAGATTTAGGACAGAGCACTTGTAAAAGAGGGTCATTAATCTTGTCAAGTCCTGAAGAATAATCAGTTTCCCCAGGAATAAGTCTCCTAAAGCAAAGGCGCTTTGGAAGGATTTAGTGAAACCTAGCCCATAGCTTTATCCCACCATGCTCTGCGGTGTTAACGGCCTTCGGCGGGAAAGACGCCCCCGGGGGCGGAGTCAAAGGGGGAGGGACCGGGCGGTTGCTCCGGAAACGGGGGCGTCTTAGGAGACTGCGCCAGGTTTGGGACTCGGCGTTGTCTGTGATTCTGTGCAGAGGCAAGCCTCACTTTGTGTTTCCGCCACGTCTCCTGTGAACCTGTGCGCTGCCTAGACAAGTGTGTAATATAGGGGAACCGAGCTTAGATTCCTTAGATTCTGCATCAAGTACCGTTCTACCTTCGGTTCAGCACCAAGCTTTGTATATGTTTAATAACTACATTCAACACTGCTTGTGTTAGTGGCAGCGATTCCTGCTCTGACCAATCGGTGGTGGTACCAACCGGGACTCAGATCTCTGTTTCTTTTTTTAATCGCCTATTACTAGGCCCAGCGCAGCAGAAAGGTGCACTGACGGTTGCAGAGTGAATTGTGCCTGTTGCTTCTCCATCCCTTTTCAACGAACGAGAAAAAAACACGCGCACCTACCTGTGTGCATGCAGAATCCTGAAGTTCCTTCCTTGTTTTGAACTCATTAGTAGGCCTCTCAAGTAATATGAATGAGCCCAGTGAACTTGTGAGAGCTGCTGTGGCCGCTGGAGACCACAGTTGCTGCTCAGGCCTGATCTACTAGTGTACTGGTCCAAGGAGATTAGAACTTCCTACATTTTTTCCTATAGAGACATCTGAAATCTGGATTTTTATATGAAATGCTGGGACTTTAATCAGCGATTCCTGCTCTGACCAATCGGTGGTGGTACCAACCGGGACTCAGATCTCTGTTTCTTTTTTTAATCGCCTATTACTAGGCCCAGCGCAGCGGAAAGGTGCACTGACGGTTGCAGAGTGAATTGTGCCTGTTGCTTCTCCATCCCTTTTCAACGAACGAGAAAAAACACGCGCACCTACCTGTGTGCATGCAGAATCCTGAAGTTCCTTCCTTGTTTTGAGCTCATTAGTAGGCCTCTCAAGTAATATGAATGAGCCCAATGAACTTGTGAGAACTGCTGTGGCCGCTGGAGACCACAGTTGCTGCTCAGGCCTGATCTAGTGTACTGGTCCAAGGAGATTAGAACTTCCTACATTTTTTCCTATAGAGACATCTGAAATCTGGATTTTTATATGAAATGCTGGGACTTTAAATTATTAGTGATAAATTCAAATTAAAACAACAAATCTGCAGTCATAAATATGCTAAAACAGATCTGCACCCTAAGTGTAAGAATGATTTTCTTCAGTTTGTGTATTTATTTGTAACAGTCCCTCTCCTCAGGGATGTAAGGCGGTTTATAAAAATACTATAAACATTATTAAAACTAGGTGGAGAAATCTAGGTGCCTTTGAAATTTAAAAAAAAGATTGTTTAGAAGACATGTCTTCAGTTCTATAAGTTGATTGAATGTATTTTAGTAAATGTTTTTCAGTAAACCCCAAATACAAATTTAATTTGCTCCTCAGCAGATCCATGGAGGATCTTTGGTAGTCCTTAAAATCTCTGTGATAGTTGACAAATTTTGTGTATGTGTGTGTGTACTTTTTTGTGTGTCCTTTAAATCATCCTTCATTGACATATTTTATCTATTGCCTTTTTATTTTTTAAATATTTATTTTTAGTTGGTTGATCATTGCTTTACAATATTGGTTTGATTGGTCATACATCGGCATGAATTAACCATAGGTGTCTATTTGTCTCCTCCCTCTTGAATCTCCCTCCCACCTCCGGCCCAGTCCCACCCCTCTAGGTTATTACAGAGTCCTGGTTTGAGTTCCCTGAGTCTCATAGCAAATTCCCATTGGCTCTCAATTTACATATGTTAGTATATATTCATCCACGCTACTCTCTCCATTTATTACACCCTCTCCCTCTTCTCCCCACCCTTGTCCATAAGTCTGTTCTCTATGTCTACATCTCCATTGCAGCTCTGCAAACAGATTTATCAGTACCATTCTTCTAGATTCCATATACATGTGTGTGTTAATATACAATATTTGTTTTTCTCTTTCTTAGTTACTTAACTGGAGAAAGCAATGATAACCCACTTTGGTACTGCCTGGAAAATCCCATGGACAGAGGAGCCTGGTGGGCTGCTGTCTGTGGGGTCGCACAGAGTCAGACATGACTGAAGCAACTTAGCAGCAGCAGCATCAGCAGTTACTTAACTCTGTATAATAGGTTCTAGGTTCATCCACCTCATTAAAACTGACTCAGATGCCATCACTGACATATTTTTAAACTGGGCTTGTAGTTTAGAAAGAGAAGACCCTTGGAATTCCCTTGCAGTCCAGTGGTTAGGACTCTAGCTTCCACTGCAGGGGGCACTGTGTTCATCCCTGATTGGGAAATTAAGATCCCATATGCCAAGGTGTGACCAAAAAAGAGAGAGAGAAGACCCTGATAATTTTTAAAATGAGAAGCTGACCAAAAGGGACACTGTTTCAACAGATGTACTCCATAGTTATTTACTGAACACAGTTTCTTTTTAACTTTATCCATCCACTTATGGTTATACAGGTTGATCTTCTGTTGATTAATGTTAAATCAGTCTGCAGTGATTTAAACATAGGTGCTTTTAATTTCAAGGCATTTTAATTACAGAAAATAAGAAAGCTACAAATTTAATTTGCTCCTCAGCAGATCCATGGAGGATCTTTGGTAGTCCTTAAAATCTCTGTGANGCAATGCAGGAGACCCAGGTTCGATCCCTGGGTTGGGAAGATCCCCTGGAGAAGGAAATGGCAACCCACTCCAGTAGTCTTGCTTGGAAAATCCCATGGACAGAGGACCCTGGTAGGCTACAGTCCATGAGGTCACAAAGAGTCGGACATGAGTGAGCGACTTCCATTTCTTTCCTTTCTGTCCAATTTAATGCAGTCATTTCTTATTTTGTTTGGTTTAGAGAAATACAAGGTAGAATTTAATAGAGTGAATAGAACATTCTTGTTTCTTTATTGGCCTATCGTATTTGAGTGTAACCAAATTATAGGTTCTGAGGTCTATGACCAAGGTCATGGATGGCTGTTTATCAAGGTCTCCCAGGATGATATTAGCTTGGGGATTATTACATTTAAGAGTGTGATCTTATACTATCAGTGTCCCAGAGTTTTCTGTCATGCTTTAGTCCAGAAGAGTAAAAAATAAGAAAGCAAATAAACCAAACCATTTGTTCATTTGTTGGTGGGAGAGGGTGAAGCAGATTCGTTTTTGATAACAGGGATGGTCAGATTGTACATGCCAAGAAAACTCTTCATCGGGTCTAGAGAGCAAGTCAGGAAGTCTCATAAGTAAATGAGGAATCAAAATGAGGTGCATCATTTTGAGAGAGATTTCATTCAGATCCTGGTGAAACCTGATAAATGATTCCTGTCCCACAACCAAGTGTACCTTTTCAAATACAGGAAAATTCAAACCCTTTAGATCTCTGTTACCTGAATAGTGCTACGTAAAGACTGGCAATTCTCTTTCTGTAGGCACACTTTCTTTAAACAGTGTACTAGACAATTGATTAGATTTTTACTGACCAAATTATAGGCACTTCATTTTGCCTCCTGAGATTACATCCTCATCTTAATTAGGGGTTTAGAGTGTTTCTAAACTTCTCAGTTACACATTCACAGACAGTTTTATGGATTGCTCCCATAACCAGCTAATTTATTAAGTATGGATTTTACCATTTTAATTCTCAGAAGCTGCCTTATTTTCCACACTGTTGTTGTATATGTAAAGTTACTTCCTCAAAAAGAAACTCTAAATGCTTTTGATTCAATCCAGTAAGTATAAAGTAGTGTCAGCACTGTACTGTACCCTGGAGATAATTACTTGAGGGAAAAAAGGAAAAGAAATGCAAAGAGTTAGTTACTGTAAGGGTTGAGATCACAAAATCTAATTTTTCAGTGATTTTCCTAAAGCATAAAACTATACCTATGGTGATAGTTATGTAACTCTGAATATATACCAAAATCATTGAATTATAGAAGTAAAGCAAGTGAATTTTATGATGTGTGTGTGTGTGTGTGTGTGTGTGTGTGTGTGTGTGTGTGTGTAAGTTGCTCAGTCATGTCAGAGTCTTTGTGACCCCACGGACTGCAGCCTTTCAGACTACTCTGTCCATGGGATTCTCCAGGCAAGAATACTGGAGTGGGTTGCCATTTCCTTCTCCAGGGTATCTTTCTAACCCAGGGATCAAACCGGGTCTCCTGCATTGCAGGCAGATTCTTTACCATCTGAGCCATCAGGAGATTTTATGGTATATAAATTATAACTCAATAAAATTTTTTTAAATTATTGGGGAAAAAAATATCTCCACAATCAGCAAAATCTCTAGTACCATTGCTCTTCAGGCACTATTAAGGCTCGGAGGTGTTCTGGGGTAATTTGTGTTGGAATATGTCTTCCCTAATCTGGAAGTTCTGTTTTCAATATTTGTGTGTTAATCCCTACTGTCATTTCTGGGGATATCTGTTAATTTTACTAGGTGAGGAGAGACAGAGTTTAGGAATACTTGATTTTGTGAATAGCAGTTACCTCCAGAAACCACTCACTTGAATAATTCTCTATTCCCTTGTTCTCCTTGTTTTAGTGATTAATATTCTCTGAAAAAAGAAAAATAATAGTATCCTTTTATTTCATTTCTATTTCTCTCATCTTCTCTAGTGAACTATGTTGAGGACAGATTTCTGTTGTAACTCACTTTATTACCAGTAAATTTGCTATTAAAATGAATATTATTGACTTTTTACTGACTGTTATTTGAACAAACTGGGACTTTAGATTAGCAGTATGTTGTTTCTATGGAAACTGTATCGTGTTTCTGTCAGTGGATAGACACAATGGGTAGAATTGTTTTTCATTTCACAGTGTAGTAATGATGGCCACTCTTCAAGCCCCAATAAACCATCTTAATAATACAGTCCTGATAATCTTATTTTAGGACTGACCGCTCTCATTCTCTGATTCTTCTTGTTTTGATTTTGGCTAATTCTAACCATCTTCATTGTCCACTGTCATATACAAACAGTAGTATATGTTTGTGCAGGAAAACAGCTGTTAGAATGCTCCATTACAAAGAGATGTATTTTCACCATGTCTCCCTTTTCCTATTAATACTATTGTTATTCCCTCTCCCCCTCTTCTTGCTTAGTTTTTTCTCTTAAAAAACTAAAACTCCAGTTCATCATATTGTATATATCTTAATTGGAGTAAATAGTTGTTTAAAGAATTGTAATGAAAATATAGCAGATGTGCTTTATTTGCTAAAAATGCTACCTTTTGCCAGTTTTATATTAATAGTGTGAGTCCTATATAAGTGTTAGCTATTATTAGTAGTAGTAGTAATGATGGTGTTATATATTAATACTGTTGTCTAAGTATGTTAGAATAGTTTCAATAAAAATTTTATTTGAAGTTTTGAGAATGTGAAGTTTTTTTCCCCTCATTGTTTTAAAAGATTATCTGAAAACTCTCAGAATTACTTTTCTAAATTTGCTTGCAGTGTTCAGTAGTTACAGAATAGAATACATGGCCCACAAGCCTAAAACACCTGGCTCTTTACAGGAAAAGCTCCCTCCAGCTTCTGGCCAAAAGAGAAAAACCTGCTTTTGTAATTCTTGCTTAAACCTAATTTAAAAATTCAGTTTTGTCATATTCTCTCTCTCATAGGTGTTTTTGATGGGTAATATCTTACATTGTTAATAGTTGTAAGCATAAGAAATACACTTTTTCAAGTGACATGTTGCATACACATGCTTCAGCAGCCATTGCTACAGTTTAATGCTGAGGTGCCCTGTCAGCTTGCCCAGCTGAGAATAAGAGGCGCAACTCTCCTCGAACTGGGTGCATTTTTTTGTTGTCTCATTGACTCAAAATTGCTTGTTGTAAGAGTGCAGGTAACTGTTCTTGCATTGAAGTAATGTTGCATGCAGAGTCCATAACAGATTTGTTCTAAGTAAGTTTTAATGTCTACTCACTGTGTCATTTGTAGATGCAGCTTCCAAATTCTGCAGATTATATTCCACAGTTCTGGGAACCCAGCAGCTTTCAGTCTGGTGCTAGTATGATCAGTGTGGCCCCAGAGGACTACGCGATGTGGATACCTGTGCAGTACTTCCTTGTCTGGTTCCAACCTGCATCCATGTGGTCTGGGGCGCACCAATCTTAATTCCTTCCAAGTCAGTTTCTACTTTTTGTGGAATCCAGGTTCCAGGGAGGAAAATTTCTTTCCCTTGATTCAGAATCTCCATTTCCTATCTTGGGATTTATCTTTATAATAAAGATGATTGAGAATGAGAATGTTTGCTTTTAAGGAATTTCCTTTCTTTTCTGCAGGAATAGAACCTCTCCTTCTGCCTCCAATAGAACAATTTCATCAGGTCCTTATGGGCAAACATTGATATATTTTCCAAAGTGTGGATTCACAATTAATAACACATGTAGCATGTTCTCACGGCATAGTCAAGGCTGAACTTCATCAGCCAAACACGGTCTAGTACATTTTTCTTTTTCTAGTTTCCAGTTCTTCTAGTAAGTGATGAAAAACAAGTGTGAATACCTTTATATGGTCTCGTGGATCTCAGTTTCTGATCCAGTGCAAGCCACAGCTTAAACAAGCGTATACATATCCCCGCAAAAACATCTACATCCCTATAGAGATAAGCATTTTTTATCTATGTTCCTAGTTCCCCATAATAATTTTGCAGTGGTAAAGCATATCTTTGCTAAAAACAATGATTTATATGCCCAACTAATATATTCAGCTTCTCAGTCTAAAATATCCACAGTCAGGAAAGAGCTTTCTTTATAATTTTCCCAGGTAAGTGGGTGTTATTTTAAATTTGTGCAACTGGAGAGCCCTATTAAGTAGGCTTCTTAACACAGAAGAAATAGTCTAAAGGATTATTCATATCTTCCACCTTTGTAGATATACTAACTGCTTATCACCTTAAAAATGTGTTCTTCTAGCTTCAACTAAATCCAGATTTAAAAAAAAATTATAGGCATTTCTGTTAATGTTTTATCAAGTCACATTTCTTGAACTTTTCTTATAAATTCTTGGTTTGTGAGACTTCGGTGGTGGTCCAGTGGTTAAGAATCTGCCCTGCTGTGCTGGAGATGTGGGTTCGATCCCTCGTCAAGGAACTAAGATTCCACATAACTTGGGGCAATTAAGCCCATGCGCCACCAGCTACTGAAACCTGAGTGCCCTACAGCTCATACTCTGCAACGAGAGAAGCTACCACGACTAGAGAGAAGCTCCTGCTCACCACAACTAGAGAAAGCTGAGTGCAGCCACAAAGACCCAGTGCAGCCAAAAATGAATGAATGAGTAAATAAAGGCTTCCTTTAGGAAAAAAAATTATTGCTTTGCAAGTATACCTGTGAATATTTGAGGCTCCAGTTACAGTTCCCATCTGACAGCACTCTTAAGATTGTCTAATTGCCCTTAAGAGAATATAATTGTCCTTCCGCAGTCAAGGAGACTGTCTCTCAACCTCTCTGACTTTGAATTTCCACACAATTAGCCCCCTTTTGATATGAGCTATAAACAGGGCTAGACCAAGCTAGTTACCACCCCCTAAATAGCTTATAATTTGGTGTCCCTTCAAACTGATGTTCTTAGGTGTTTTTGCACCAATTTGTATGCAACTATTAGAATACCAAAGCCATGCATGCCCTGGCAGAATCATGGTCTTCCCTACAGAGCTTCAAGCACTTTTGAGGTCTTAAATAAAAGAAAGTACTTGTTTGGGGATGGCATAAAGTAACAGAGGCTCTCACTAAGCATGATTTGCACTGTACCATGTTATTAAAGTGGTTTTTAAAGCTTACAGCACTATATTTAAAAATACCTGTACCAACCAACCTCTGTTAAGTAACGCTCCAGTAATAAAATAACCCCCCAGATCTCAGTGGCTTAACAAAATAGCCAAGGATTACTTCCTGCTTATGTTACTTATTGGCAACCAGGGGTCGGCAGAGGCACTTTTCTGCATATCTTATCCTGGAATCCAGCAATCCAGTGCATTGTAAAGATAAGCTTTGAATAAGATGGATTTTTGTTCAAATCTCCTATACCATTTACTACCTGTGTGGTCTTGCATAGCTTCCTTAACCTACTTAAGCCTCTGTTTCTTCATATATAAAATAGGGGGATAATAGTATTTGGGGGGTTGTGAAGATTAAATGAAACAACGTGGGAATCAACTAGTAGTAGAGTGCTCTGCCCACAGAGGTGTTCAATAATAACAAGTTATTCAGGCTCTAAACACCTATGTGCTTGGATTTTCTGGTTCAGGTGTTTGTCCACTTCACTCCTCTTTGAGAGAGGAAAGAAATGAAACTCAGGTAAGTCTGTTTTGTGATTAACTTGATATTTTGGACAGATAGCTTAGTAGAGGATTGGAAGTCTTGCCTAAATTAGATTTTTGTTTTTGAGAGAGAAGATATGGTCTATGCTGAAAAGAAGTTGAGAAATCCTCCCCATGGATCATATAGAGAAACAGAAGTGCCCCCTGGCCTTGCAGGATGTAGCCTCTGTTGCTGTTTAGTCACGAAGTCATGTCTGAGTCTTTGCGACCCCAAGGACCCCTGCATGCCAGGCTCCTCTGTCCTTCACTGTCTCCTGGAGTTTGCTCAAATTCATGTTCACTGAGGCAGTGATGCCATCCAACTATCTCTTCCTCTGTTGCCCCCTTCTCCTCCCGCCCTCAGTCTTTCCCAGCATCAGGGTCTTTTCCAATGAGTCAGTTCTTCACATCAGGTGGCCAAAGTACTGGAGCTTCAGCTTCAGCACCAGTCCTTCCAATGAACATTCAGGACTGATTTCCTTTAGGATGGACTGGGACTTCTCAAGAGTCTTCTCCAGCACCACAGTTCAAAAGCATCAATTTTTCAGCATTCAGCCTTCTTTATGGCCCAACTCTCACATCCAAACATAACTACTGGGAAAACCATAGCTTTGACTAGACAGACCTTTGTTGTCAAAGTGATGTCTCTGCTTTTTAATATGCTGAGTTTGTCATAGCTTTTCTTTCGAGGAGTAAGTGTTTTAACTTGTGGCTGCAGTCACCATCCACAGTGATTTTGGAGCCCAAGAAAATAAAATCTGTCACAGTTACTGCTTTTTCTCCATCTATTTGCCATGAAGTGATGGGACTGGATGCCATGATCTTCATTTTCTGAATGTTGTGTTTTAAGCCAGCTTTTTCACTCTCTTCTTTCACCCTCTTCAAGAGGCTCTTTAGTTCTTCTTTGCTTTCTGCCATTAGGGTGGTGTCATTTGTATATCTGAGATGACTGTTATTTCTCTCAGCAAGCTTGATTCCAGCTTGTGATTCATCCAGCCCAGCACTTCACATGATGTACTCTGCATGTAAGTTATATAAGCAGGGTGACAATATACAACCTTGACACACCCCTTTCCCAATTTTGAACCAGTTAGTTGTTCCGTGTCTAGTTCTGTCAATTCTTGACTTGCATACAGGTTTCTCAGGAGAGACGTCAGGTGGTCTGGTATTCCCATCACTTAAGAATTTTTCAGGTTGTTGTGATCCACGCAGTCAAAGACTTCACCATAGTCAGTGGAGCATAAGTAGATGTTTGTCTGGAATTCCCTTGCTTCTTCTGTGATCCAACAGATGCTGGCAATTTGATCTCTGGTTGCTTTGCCTTTTCTAAATCCAGCTTGTATCTCTGGAAGTTCTTGGTTCGTGTACTGTTGAAGCCTAGCTTGAAGGATTTTGAGTGCTACCTTGCTAGCATGTGAAATGAGTGCAACTGTACAGTACAGTAGTTTGAACTTTTTTGGCAAATGTAGCTAGAGAAAATATAGTGTAGTTCTTTTGTCTTTCTATGGTTCTGAAGAATGTCTCCCTTGTGGAAAAGCTGACTGGATGATTAAAAACCTCCTGATCAATGTAAAGCTTTTCTTTGTTGCTTGGGGCTTATCTATGTCTGTTTGGTTTTGTTTTTTAATCAACTAGTTAGAAAAACATCTCAGGTTCTCCCTTGCTAGTCTGGTGTGCTGAGCAGGAGCCTGTTCTTGGAAAAGTACGGACTTTGGATTTAAACAGATCTGAATTTGAATCGTGGCACCTCCACTTACCAACATCTAAGTTAATCTTTTGTTCATTGATTCATCTATTTGTGTATTCATTCTGATTCAGAACATTTCTGGAATACTCTGACAATGATGAGAGTACAAACATAAAGGAATGTGACTCCTTCCCAGAAAACTTGCCCTTAATCTACCACAGTAGCCTACAAACTTTCCTGATTTACCTGTTTTACCATCAGTAAAACATTCTTGAGCAGAAAACTTTCATATGTGTACATTTTAACATATTGTGTATGTGACTTCATTATTATGCACATAAAAAGATTTTTGATTTTTAAATGTTTTATATCACATACCACCTGGATGCATACACCCGGTTTTAGGAGCTGCTGACCTAGTGGTAAACTTATTTAAACTTCACTTTTCTCCTGATTAACACTGTGATGATGAAATCTGTTTCATGGTATTTTTGTTCATTCATTCACTTAATGAATTTCACTGAACATTCTCCAGTGCTAGATTCTGTCTGAGGAACTGGAGTGTTAAATGTCAGCTGTGTTATTTTACTGTCTAAGGGGAAACTTCCATTGGGTGGGGGATACTATTACACTTACTTATGTTTTAATTGATATTCAATATAGTTGGCCTTCTGTGTCTGCAGTTTCTGTACCTGTGCGTTCAATCAACAGCAGATTGAAGATATTTGAAAAAAAATTCTCAAAAAGTTTCAAAAAGCAAAACTTGAATTTGCTATGTGTTAGCAACTATTTACATAACATTTACATTGTGTTAGGTATTATAAACAATGGGATAAAATTACTTTAAGGCCAGATAAGGAAAACTAAACATAAAATTCTCTCTCTGCCGGTTTGATCCACTGCCTTGCTCCCCTTTAGCATGCATTGTGAGTCTTCGTTATACATTAACTAGATCCCCTTAGAAGACTTGAGGATGCCTACTCAGCCAAAAAAAGCAATTTCCTCCTGGCACCAGCAAGGTAACTCCTTAGGAGATAACTCCTTTATCAATTATTAATTTTTAATTATTATAATAATTCTCAATTATTAATCTAATCATATGTTGTATAAAGGTAAGACCCATTATTTTTATTTATTCTATGATTAATATTCAATTAATACATACGTTTAAAGATTAAATCCTCAAACATGTAGCATATAAGTAGTTTATCAAATTTTATTAAACATTTGAAATACACTTAAAAATTTTTTTTCATAAT